ACGTATTGTTCTTCACCCAGATAAAAAAAGGGCTACATCGTGATTTGTGCATCTCAAAACATAAATCTAGGGCGCTTTTTATCGTTGCAATATATAGTCCTTGCTAATTTGTTCCCATCCCTAGCAAATTCCACACCATTTTCATTTATTTTGGTGATGTACTATCTTACCAAAAAAATAAAAATGATATCTCCTACGTTGAGTATAATTTTCCCAGCGGTGATAACGAACCGAAAACACGGAGAATCAATTATATGTAACCCAGAAATCGAAGGCAAAGAGCCAGCTAAGTGGCAACGTGATGTATCATGTTTTCTTTATCAAAAAGGATGAAAAAGCATGCCACATTTCGAAGCAAGGATGTTATATAATAATCATTAACAGTGAAAGGAAAAAAAAGACACCTCCCCCTGAAAAAAATATAATTAATTCGAGAGCAGACCAGCGAAGGGAGCCGGGATTTATTCTAAACTGATTCCTTCCAGTACCTTCGTCCTCCAAATTCAAAGTGTACCTAAATCATCAAGATAAAGCATTTCAATTTTATATTATTTTTCAGCTTTAACCTTACCTTTTCCGGTTTTATTACTGCCCCTTTCCTTATTTGGTTTTTGAACATAATTTTCCGCTGCGGGCCGGAGTTAATTAGCAGTCAATTGGTTTTTATTTACATTGCGATATATCGCGTGATTTAACACGTTTCCCGTGCCTAAAAATACATTTCCCGCTCTCAGAGGCAACCCCGCATGACGTCAGTTACAATTATCTAATCCAGTATTTTCGTAGTTGCGAAAGTAATACTCGGGATAAGCTGCGGTAGTATTTAAAGACATTTCAGAAAAGGGGCTTGTAAGCATTCAGGCGTCGCCAAGATTTGAACCTGCGTCTAGGCGTTATTAGGGACCTTTAGCAGTTAGGACGGCAACGCAAAGGAAGACATCAATTTAAAAATGAATATATATATTGATAGTTGGAATTTTACGAACGACTGGATGTGTTCACTATCTCTTACGACGCCGCGAGATAACCTCAGCATAACTTATAGGAGCGGAGTTGAGTTTCAAATAGAACCCTAAATAATTTACCGTCGGGGTTTCCTTTCTTGGACCACGCAAATTTTGAAGATTTCACGTTGATATTTTGCAGAGGACGGCTACGAAATCTTCACAGTTTTGAAACGCACGTGCTGAGCTATTGCTCTGCTCATTAGATCTTTTGTTTCGCCACGTCCTTTTGTTGTCGCCGGTCGCCGTCGTGCTTTTCTAAAGTTCCCTATCACCAACTAAGCGACGAAGCCACATGTTCGAGTGAAGCAAATTTGAGAGGCATCTTCGTTCCCGTATGAAATTATGATTACCATTATTTAAAAAAACATACCATGAACGCTCACCAGAGGTCAGATGGCTTTTCCTTACAGGAATTATGCCGTTAATCCGCTCCGCAAAGCCAAGTCAGTCATTACCAAAGCTTGGCACGCTATTTCGACAAACTTCAGGGAGACCTTTGACAAAAGTTAGGCTGACCGTCCACTCTTATCCGGAAAAATGTTTCACTGAAAACGAAGCCTTTCGAAAACGTAGACATCTTATCTTAAATTTCCTTTTATGAAACCCTTCCTCCGCGCATGCTTAGAAATTCAGTCAACCGTCGCTGCTTGCGGTAAGTATTGTGTTTTCACTGTGAAGGGAAGTCATTTATCCGTTTCCAGCATGGACGCAAAGAATTGTCAACAGACAAACTTATATTTGCTTAATTCTATACGGCCTTGATAAAAGACAAATTCTAGTATTACGGGAGGAAAAACGGGATTCGTTCGGATGCAGTTTTTTTGGAAAAGTTTCCGAACCAAGTGAGTCTTAGTGAAATCAAATGTTGTTTCTGATTTTGTATTTATTAGTGCATTGACTCAGAGGAAAGCACGGTATAGGTTAGAACTATCAAAGGGCTGTCACACAAATATTTAGTCGCGTTTTGAGCGATGATATGCTAAGTTCTTCCCCACGCCTAAAGCAAATCACTCGAAATATTAGCCATAGTTATACCTTTTATTTTTCAAGACAAGGCAATACTCTAGGGTGAGGAGTTACCCTTTTACGCTTAATTCCAGGTTAGCGGTAGCAGCGTTACAAACAACGGCACATTTCAATGAATTAGAAAGTAAGCAAGCTCCGATTAAACAAGATTAACAAGGGTCATTAAACCCCGAACTTGAGAATGATGTAATGCATATTTCATTTTTAGTTCGGTGAGTGTCTCGCTGTTGAAAGCCTAAATGGCTCAGAAGCTTTTTTGTACTGCCTCCCTTGCCAGATTTGTATGGGTCTACATAGAAATATATTCATGCGTTATTGACCAAGCGTGAAGTCAAGATGGCTGGATATTGGCCGAGTTCTTTTGTTGCGTTTTTATGGACCGAGACGAAGTTGAGGTCCATAAAAACGCTGAAAAAGAACGAGGTTATTGTCCAGCCATCTTGACCGAATAAGCTTGGTCAGGAGAGAACATATATTCCACAGTCGATCTCAAGTTTTTATTTCATTTTTTGTCTTCATCTCTCCTCCCCGCCGTGAGGGGAGAAAATGAATAGACAAATAAATAAATGAAAAAAAGAAAACTTAGCATTTTCCACTTATGGTGGATTAACAAGTGACACAGCAAAATCCTTCAACTTGTTCTAAAATTGTACGACACTCCTGACGACTTTAACACCAACAATAACATCAACAATAGCGTGCTAGTTTATCACCAATTGTAGTCGAGTTTTTTCCAAAGAATCCTAATGATTAGGTACCAATCGAGTCCATCCACTTGAACTTCCAGCCAAGTGTTGGCCCACTTTGGACTAGAAATTATTTTCCTCAACTCGATCGATAAACTGCTGAGAGATAGATCATGAAATTACCTTGCTTGTCACTGAGTTCTGTCGTTGATGACATGCTCCAGATTTTTGTTAATTGTCTGTTATGTGATTGGCAATCTGAGCCGGCGATTTGTAGTGATGCACTGGTTAGCAGCTTCTTTGTATCTATGTACGTCACTGAGTTTGTGATTTGATGCAGA